TCAAGACAAGAGCAATCCGAGATGATTATTGCAATAATGTAGCTTAATATTAAAGTAATCTGGGCGCTGCGCGTTGTTGTATTTGGTAAAACATATATAGTTAGTTTTAAGTAAATTTAAAGTGAGTAGGTTTTTGTTTAACCAGGATCCTAATTTTACTAAGCCAGTCTCCACACGATTTTTAAGTTGCTGCCAATCATTAGCAGAGAAAACAATAGCTGTATCGTCCGCATATGAGAAGATGTCACCACCCTCTATCTGCATATTACACAAACTATTGATGTAGACCAAGAACAAAGTGGGACCCAACACACTGCCCTGCGGGACACCATATGTGACAGTAGCCTCAGAACTAGTTATTGAGCCGATTTTGACACGAGTTTTACGATTGCTGAGATAGTCACCAAGAAGTTTTAGCGGAATACCTCTAACACCATGATTGTTAAGGTTTTGTAGTAGAATAGGGACGGAAACTGTGTCGAAGGCCTTTTTTAAATCTAAGAAGACAGCTAGACATTTTCTTCCGTAATCAACATGGTTTACCGTACGGGAAGTCAGTGCTATAATTGCGTCTTCCGTAGATAGATTCTGACGGAAGCCGAATTGTGATGTTGAAAGTATATTAAATTTTGAAAAGAACTTTATTAATCTAATGTTTATTAATTTCTCAAGTATCTTTGCTATTACAGATATCACCGATACCGGCCTATAGTTTGAAGGATTAAACTTGTCACCACTTTTATATACAGGTGTGATAATAGTCTGTTTAAGAGCTAACGGGAAGACGCCTTGTTCAGAACAAAGGTTAGCTAGGTGAACAAGAATTGGTATAATCTCTTTATGGGCACTTTTTAGAAAATGAGCTGGTATATTGTCATAACCAGGGGCACTGTCTGATTTCATGGACATGAGCAGACTATATATCTCTTCACGGTCGGTGTCAAAAATAACAAAAGATATAACTTGAGTATTTGTTATGATATTAGTATTAGTAGCTTGTTGTGTTGTGTTTTTAATATTTCCTTCTGCTAACTGTTGCCCTACCGTAGCAAAGTAGCTGTTAACAGTGTCAACAGATTCCTGGGGGGATAAAGTTAGTTTCAGAAGATCCAGGCTTTGAACTTTGGCAGGTTTGCGTTGAGTAAGACTATCGATCATCTGCCATAGTTTTTTTGGGTTTCTGATAGCTAGTTTTAGTTGATTTTTGTCATAGTTAAGTTTTAATTTTTTAATCAAGCAATTACAAAAATTACGGTAACGTTTATATGTGATTTTGAAAATCTCGTTTTCTGGATTTAATTTTACCTTACGTTGCATATCGTTCCTATTTTTAATGCAGCGGAGAACTCCCAGCGTAATCCAAGGTTTGATTATTCTATTTTTTCTAGGAATCGAAATTTGTTTCATGTTGGATTGAAGGCACTTCTGCATAATTAATGTAAGCTGCTCTACTATGAAATTCGGGTCGTTAACTGTTAATAAGTTAGATAAATCTGTGGTTTTTAGAGTTTTAAGTGCTTCTTCGAAGTTTGTAGTTAATTTAGTTTTCTTTTTAATATTGATATTTATATTTGATATTTTAACCAAAATTGTAAAGTGGTCTGTGATACTGGAGTCAATAACTGCAATGGACGCTGTTTTATAACCTTTACTAAATTTTATTATGAAATGATCAAGACAATTTTCTCCTCTTGTTGGTAGGAGATGTCCTGGTAGCATTCCGTGCATGGCAAGCATATTAAGATAATTTGTTCTATTATTGCGTTCTTGTGTTGTTTCATCCGTTTTAAATATTAAGATAATATTTATGTCACCTGTAATAATTATATTACTGCATTTATTAATAGTACTTAAGTGTGAATTCAAAGAGTTTATAAAATCGTCAGCGTTTTTAATTGATGGGGAACGATAAATGCCAATAATAATTAGTTCAGACGTGGTAATTTGTAAGTATGACGCATGGGTAAGTTTTATTTCAGTTATTGAAGCCGCGATTGTATCTCTAATAAAAGCAACCACTCCATCAGCATGATTTAAGTGTTTAGTTGTATTAAATGAAATAAATGAATTAATTTGCGGAATATGCTTGTCAGTATGGAGTCTACATTCAGTAAGAATAATTAAATCTACTTTTGTTTTAAAGTCGCACAGGTTTATTTGAAAGTCAGCTAAATTAGCGTAAATGCTCCGGATGTTCTGTGACACTATAACAAAGTCGGACATGTGAACTGGCATCAGTGTAGGCAGATCATCAGTACGACAAACAAAGGCAGAGGCTATTTCTGTGTTGTCTATTTCATTCATATTTGTAAGAACATTATTCATGTTTCATGACAAAAAGGAAACGTGTTACTTTATCTGTTGCTTTTGAATGTGATGATGGTGCTATAAGATTAAGTTTTTCTGTAAACTGCAAATAACTGCAGGTTTTAATGTTGAAAAGACGATTGGAAGGTGAATTTATGGACGAAGTTTTAGGGTGATTGTTTGTAATTATTAGAACTATATATGTGTATGCGAGTGTTTGATGTGTGCGTTGTGTGTGAGAATTTAAGTTTATATTAATGCTTTTTTTAACTGAAAACAGATACACGTGATAAAACATAAAATATACTAACATATAAGGAATAAGATCTAGTCATTTTGCCAATTTTAGGTTGTGTACCTGTGATTCGCTTCTAACAAGAATGATAGGTGAGTTTTCATCCTTCCGGAGATACACACGTCCAAAGGCGGTCCAGCAGAACTTATATTCTTCGGATCTTGCGAAGTCACGGGCAATGAAGTGTATACGAGCACCTCGAGCAGTTAATTGTTCTGACACAAAGATGGGGGTTTCTTCGTTTTTGGTGGCTCCTAAGTGCTTGGCTCGTAGTTTTTCTTTATTTTTAATGTTAAAGAGTTTGCACATCTTTAAGATATCTTTAGTAATGTTGACGAGAGCTCAACCACGACGGGTGAGCTTTTATCAGGATTTTTCTTGCCACGCATTCTGTAAATATCCTTGATGTCTTCCTTTCTAACGTTGCAGTTAATGCTCTTTGAGAGGCACGTTATCATATTTGTGAGATTTTCTTTTGATTCGCTAGTAATTAGAGGAACGTTTTTGAGTTGGATAGTGGATTTACGATTTACACGCTGCAGGTCCTCGATTTTATCCTCGAGGATTGTAATATAGTCCTTATCTTTTCTAGACTGAATTTCGAACTGTTCCACTTTCTTTTTTAGCTCTTCATTTTGGGCCGTGAGAAAACCAAGGCACTCTTGTATGCTATTGCTAGTTTGTTTGATTTCAGTTTGAGACGTTACAATCTTTTTCAGTTCAGCTTGTTGTGCAGCGAACAGCGAAGTAATCATGTTCTTCATGTCATCTTTAAACGTGTTAAATTCATCCTCGAATTCGTGTTCTCGGTTTCGTTTTTGTCGTTGGTAAACATAGTTAGGTGGTGTTTGCACTCCACTAGCCTGTTCGGCAATATTAGAGTCCGAGACCGAAGCATGCATACTTTCCTGTCCGTTCGCTACGAGGGCGCAATGATTATAGGTGAAGGTAAAGCGCGGCGCTCGATATCGCGATGTTAATAAACAAACTTGCTCACTGCTCTTTCGACGCAATCGCTCCAAAGTACCAGGACGACAGCAAAGCGTGGAGATTCGTTACTGTAGATAGGCGTCGTCGTAGCAGATAGTGGTGACTCGTAGCACAGTTCGTACGCGCCTACGGCAGGTGTGCCGGTATTGTGCTACGACAAGTCGGTGGGCGGAGCTAAGACTGCAGTACGATTACTCTCGTAGCGGCCCGCGTAACTTATGCTTCACTCATGCACTCTTAGTATTACATTCGATTTTACTAGTTTTAAATTATTTAAAAATAAGAAAAATAGTGACAGTGCAGACAGACGTGCACTCCGAGAGCGGTCCGAGAGGAAAGAGGAACCTTAACCTTTTTTATAGGATAAAGTTGACAAACGAGCATAAAGTCCACCTGATGGTAAGTGGTTGTTGTAGACCATAGACATCTACATCTATCCTCGATTATAAATCGAAATGCAGATGCGTCATCACCCATGAGGACTAAGATGGAATGCCTCGGTTCTAGTAAAAAGGGTATCCGGTTTTCTACACTCACCATACGAAACACAGCAGCGTTAAGCAGCTATTTTACGTTTGTATTCTGTGAGAGCGATCTCCTTCCCCTGTCCAGCCGACCCATTCGTGCTACAACTATACCACTAATATAGCTGCAGTATGGCTCTACCACGTATAAATTCCCTTCTATTTACCTATAATAAATACCGAAAAACTTTAACAACTTTCGATGTTTACCAATAAACATATCTTATTTACTTTAGGTCATAATACTTGGGTGACTAAGCTTGACTAGGCTATAAAATATCAAGATAATCTTGGAAAGAAACTTATCACATATACATCATCATCATCATCATCGTCATTACATCCCATTACAAGTCAGGCTTCACCCAAGATATACCACAAAGCACGGTATTGAGCCACCTGTATTCATCTATTTTCTGCATCTCTTGTTAGTGGGGGCCGCAAATGTATAGCATTTCGCTTATCGTTGCAAATCTGCCACTCGCGAAACTTTATTTTCCATTGGTTGCCGGTTGCCGATTCTTCAAGGTATATTTGCGATTATGGTATGATTGTATGGTTGATGGATGAGAGTATGGTTGCCATTGCCACTTAAACTAACTAATCCGTTGCGTTATGTTAATTACTCTGGTTATATTGCGGATAACCTTATTTCGATGGCAATCGCGCAGAGAAATTCCGAGCATAGTCCCTCCGTCGCTTGCTGAGCGGTCCTGAGGTTCCCCATATAAAAATCAGTGAAGGACCACGTGTTGTTTCACTTGTAGTATAGGATTAAAATATATCTTTTGTTTCATTTTACAATCCTTTTCAAATTCAGCAAAACAACGCGATAACTACAAAAAAAAACAGCAAAAATTTCAAGCGCAACTTTTGTATAAGTAATTCAGTGCTTGTTTTGTTAGGTATTATTCCAAAAGGGTTTTCAAAGGTTGTTTTGATTCGAACTTTTGTCTGTATATATATATATATGTTCTCTGCTATATGTTTCTAGTGGATTTAGTTTTATATTGGATATCTTTTTCTTTCTTTCTGCTCTTGTTCGTCTTCGCCTTAAAAAGGGGGGAATCAAAATAGTCGCTACGTCTGATATCTGCACACATCATCTTGCACTTTTGATATTGCTTCATTTTGCCGATTTGTGTATATTGCATAGGAACGTGATGATTATGTGGAAACCAAACGATGTTTGAACTAAACATTTCATCTTTATCATCATCATTACAGCTCTTCACAAGTCCACGGCAGAAGCTAGGCCTCCAAGGAATATGTGGTATTCCTTGGAGGCCTAGCTCCTTTCTGAAGCACGGTTCTGAACAACATATATCCATCGGTTTTTGAATCTCTTACTAGGTCGTCACTTAATTTAGTGGGGGTTGCCCTTCACTTTGCTTACCGGTGCGAGACTGCCACTCGAGAACCTTTCTTCCCGCTGGTTGTCAGTTCTTCCAGCTATATGGTCGACCCCTTGCTGCTTCCGCTTAGTAATTAACTTACTATAATTACTAAGTATATACTTTAGTTAAATTCTTCAACACTCATTGGATGAAATTATGTAAAAAATTGTCAAATGCCACAAAAACAACAATATTCAATGTGGTTTATATTACTTAATTACATTATATGCATTATAAATTATAAAATTAGTGATATGATATGCTTAAGTACTTTGTACTTTCATCATTACTTTGATCATTACAGCTCGTTACAAGTTCACTACTAAACATTTGGCCTTCCAAAATGAAAGTACGGCCCTGGTTCTCCTACTTCGACCACCCTCTGCAAAGACAAACCTTTTGCATAACCAGGACACTCTATCTAGTTAGTGAATGTCTCAAAGAAAAATATCACAGGTAAACTAGTATGGTCGTGAAATTAAATCTGTTTCAAGTTGTGAAGTCTAATAACCCACCCTGAAGTAATTGGCAATCTTATCCAGATAATTAATGGAAGAAGGCGTTACTTTGTGGAAATTCATTGGTCGTGGAATTTATTGACTAAAATCCGCATGAAATATAAAAGAAGCTGTATTTACCTAGTTT